CCTTTGTCAAATATAAGATAACTATAATTATGTGGGTTTATCTCTGTGTCTTCTATCTATACCATTGGTCTACAAGTCTATTTTGGTGCCAAAACCATGCTGTTTTTATTACTATTGCTCTGTAGGATAGTTTAAGTTCTGATATAGTGATACCACCTGCTTCACTCTTCTTGCTAAGGATTACTTTAGCTATTCTGGATCTCTTATTTTTCCAGGTGAATTTCATGACTGCTTTTTCTATTTCTATGAGGAATGTCATTAAGATTTTGATTGGAATTGCATTAAATCTGTAGAGTGCTTTTGGTAGTATAGTCATTTTGACAATATTAATTCTGCCTATCCAAGAACAATGGAGATCTTTCCATCTTCTAAGTCTTCTTTAATTTCTTTCTTTAGTGTTCTATAGTTTCCATTGTAGGGTATTTCACCTCTTTTGTTGATTCCAAAGTGGTTTTTTTTAAGGATATTGTAAATGGGGTAGTTTTCCTTATTTCCCTTTCAGAGGATTTATCACTAATATACAGAATGCCTTTGATTTATGGGTGTTGATTTTATATTCTGCTACTTTGCTGAGTTCATTTACTAGTTCTAAAAGTTTTCTGGTGGAATTTTTTGAGTCTTCTAGTTATAGGATCATATTGTTAGCAAATAGTACTAATTTGAGTTCTTCTTTTCCTATCTCTATCCCTTTAACTTCTTTTGTCTAATTGCTCTGGCCAGTGTTTCAAGAACTATGTTGAATAGAAGTGGTGAAAGAGGACATCCCTGTCTTATTCCAACTTTTAGAGAGAATGCTTTCAATTTTTCTCCATTTAGAATGATGTTGCCTAGGACTTATCATAGATAGCTTTTACAGTGTTGAGATATGTTCCTGTTATCCCTAGTTTTTCTAGTGTTTTGAACATGAAGAGGTGCTGTATTTTGTCAAGTGCATCTATCGAGATGATCATATGGTTCTTATCTTTAATTCTATTGATGTGATAAACAAACCTTGCATCCCTGGGATGAATCCCACTTGATCATGGTGCACTAACTTTTTGATATGATTTTGTGTTTGATTTGCCAGAATTTTATTGAGAATTTTTGCACCTATGTTCATTAGAGATATTGGTCTGAAGTTTTATTTCTTTGATATGTCTTTGCCTGGTTTTGAAATCAGGGTGATATTGGTCTCATAGAATGAGTTTGGAAGTGCTCCCTCTTTTTCCATTTCCTGAAATAAATTTAAGAGTATTGGTATTAGTTCTTCTTTAAAGGTCTTATAGAACTCAGCTGTGCATCTATCTGGCCCTGGGCTTTTCTTGGTTGGTTGGCTTCTGATGGTGTCTTCTATTTCATTGCTTCAAATTGATCTGTTGAAATTGTGCATATCATCCTGATTCAATGTGGGCAAATCACATGACTCTAGAAATTTGTGGATGCCTTTGATAATTTCTATTATATTAGAATATAAGTTTTCAAAATAATTTGTAATTATCTTCTGTATTTCTGTAGTGTCTGTTGTGATATTTCCTTTTTCATCAGTATGTTAATAATTTTGAGTTTTCTCTCTCCTTCTCTTTTGTTAGCATGGCTAAGGGTCTGTCAATTTTATTTTTTCAAAGAACCAATTTTTTGTTTTTTCAATTGTTTCTTTTGTTTCAATTTCATTGTTTTCAGCTCTGATTGTAATTATTTCCTATCTTTTACTGCTTTTGGAGTAGATTGGTTCTTTATCTAGGGCTTTGAGATGTAATGTTAAATTATTTGTTGACTTTTTCTTCTTTTAAGGAATGAACTCCATGCAATTAACTTTCCTCTTAGAACTGCCTTCTTAGTATCCCAGAGATTTCAAGATGTTGTATCTGTGTTCTCATTCACCTCTAAAAATTTTTTAATATCCTTGGTGTCTTTTGCAGCCCATTGTTCATTCAGTAGGTGTTTGAGTAGTTTTTATTTCTTATTTTATCGTTGATTTCTAATTTCATTCCATTATTAATATTTTTATATCTGCTAAGAATTGCTTTGTGGCATAATATATGGTCATTTTAGATAAGGATCCATGTGCTTCTAAGAAGAAAGTATATTTGCTCATTGGAGGATGAAATATTCTATATATGTGAATTTTTTAGTTTTTGATAGACCTTATTTTATTTATTTCTATGCAGTGTTGAGAATTTAACCCAGTGCCTGACACATGCCAGGCAAGTACGTTACCACCACTGAGCCCCAACCCCAGCCCAAGGCACCTACTTTTAACAATGAATAGATTTGGGGCAATATGGCCAAATTGGAATCTCTTTCCTTAACCTTTTTAAATACTTTTCCACACATATTGCTGAATTAATCATTTTAACTATACTGCTGATTGTATTTCTGTTCCTGTTCTATACAATCTGTTGAGCAGACTGGAGAAGATCAAAACATCAGAATAATATGGTTCCAAGTTTAATCATGCTTTCTATGCTTCAAAGTACCCGAACTCCTAAGATCAATGAAAGTGCACCCTAAATTTGAAAGGGACACGATAGTTTTCCCAACACTAGCAAATCAGTTAATATTCATTCTTCTTATAAAACCTTTCTTCTCCCTATTCTTAATTTCTGTACATAAACAGTTTCTTAGGGAGGTGACCTGCCCAACCCAAGCTGCCTCCCAGGACACATCTCCTCCCACACTCTTCATCAAACTTTTTGAAAAGGAGAAATTCACTCAGTCAATCTTGAGGCTCCTCCCACATATACATCTCTTCAGCCTCAACCACCAGGGTCTCCATTTTCTCTCCCAGAACTCTGAAAGGAGGAAGCCCCCCCCCCCCACGTTACCCCTTCTCAGCAGCAAGCAGCCATATTTTATATCAACGCCCCAATTCATTATCCCCTTTCAGAGTCTGGAATGAAGGATATGAAGAATAAGTCCAAGGATATTTCCTCTATGCACCTGTTGACCCACCTGCTTTGTTGGGGTAAAATTGAAGTTTTTGTCATTTAAAAGACTGGTCCTCACCAGAGGGAAGGAACACAAAAAGAACTCACACCTGACTGGCACCCAACCCCCAACCCTAATGGATCAGCTGAATCCAATACAATAAGCCCTAGGAATCACCCTCCTGTCCCACCCTAAATGAATCCTGTATAACCCAAACCCATGCTTCAGCGTGCCACCATATTTCCACCCCGAAAATGAGCCATGTCATGTATTCGATTGATGACTCTGCTGCTTGCTGATCTGAGGTCTGCTTTCCACCTTCCTCATTTGTGTGTCATTTGTGCTTACAGGCTATAAAATTAAAAGGGTCCTTTCTACCATCAAGACTTAAAACACCTAAATTTTATAAAACTCAGCAACATTCTTTTCACATTAGGGCTCATTAACAGCTTTTCCATTTGGAGGTGACAGTGAAGAGGAGACAAAATTCCTATCCTAGGAAGGGTGGGAAGAGTCTACAGTGACAGCCCTTTGCAGTCTCCAGGTTATTCTACACCTGATGATCCTCACCAAGGAGGTCACCTTAGCCCCATGCATCCTCACAACACATCCAACCAGATACTTTAAAAAAGGGAGGGAGGGGCGGAACAGGGAAGTGTTGAGCCCCTGAGCTGGAAAGCAGCCTATGTTGCCTTTGTGAGGGACTCTTAGGGCCCGGCACACAGGTCTGGTCTGGATATTTGTGGTTTGGAACACTGACCCTGAACTAGTCCCATCACCATGGTAACCTGGCCACCTTCACGTGCACAGCTTGTTCCTTTTCCTTCTGCTTTTTGCCACCGACATTTTATCCCATTGGTTGCTGCTCATAACTTTGCTGCTAACTCGTTGGATTATTACGACCCTCAGCTAAATTTGCCTGGTAACAGACTATGCATAAAAAGCTTGCCTATGCAATAATAAAGTGGATCGTCTTCTCTGAAACTGGTCTCTAGAGGTCTCTTTCCGACTATGTCACCACACACCCTCCTCAGCTGTTTGGTGGGCTTCTGCAGACCGAGTGAACCCACAGGGAAGAACATCAGAGTCCACAGAGAACCAAAAGGAGAAAGCACAGATTCTGTGGTGGACTTCTTTAGTAACAGAAAAAATCTGGAAGCTATTGCAAAGGCCACTATTGGATAAGAAACCTAAGGCTGTCACCAAAGAACAAAGGAGCCAAACAGACTCTAACTGCTCCCTTTCTCCCAGGAACTTTAGAGCGGATCTCCAAGATAATGGAGGTGGTTAACAGCACGGGCACTACCAACTGGAGTTTCGGACCCAGGGTCTGGGTCCCAGATGCCCCGTGATATCCTCTCCCACCTCACAAGAGCCCTGGTACTAATTTCTGTTAGAGTCTGTAAACAAGTCAGGATGGCGCCTGGCATTTTGCCAGAGAAATGTTAGAGTCTCTAAACAAGTCTGGATGGCGCCTGGCAAAATGCCAGAGGGAGTGGTTTGTGAAGTAACACCAGCGAGCCATTAAGTGTGGAGATTTCTTATTGGCTGACTGATGTATCTAGTTTATGCTAATTAAGATAAGCTGTGTGGAATGTATAAATACCGCTCCTGTCCTACAATAAAGGGCTCCCATTCCTGCTGTATCAACCTACACAAGTTGTTCGTCACCCCCCAGCTATTTTGCCCGGCCAGCCGGGCTGTGGCAAATTTCCAACCCTTTGAGATCCCAGGTGCTTTCCCCAGTGCTCCAGTGAACTCTTATGTGTCCACTACCTGCTCCCGTGTCAAGTATGCTGACATCCCAGGTGACCTGCCCCCAGCACTCCCACTGAGCCCCCAGCTGCTCTGGATTTGCGCCTCCTTGACTGGAAATGCTCTGCGGCCCTGCACCGCAGTGTGCACTCCTTCCCGCCCCTCCTTTGCATAGCCTAGGGAGCCAGAGCTTCCAGACCCGGTAAGGCCCAGCCACCCGCCACCACAGTACAACTGTCAAATGCCGAACAAGCACCTCCTCCCATGGCCATGGTCACTGGTGCCTGCAAAGGGTGTTCCCGGGATCTGTCGAGGATACCTGTCTGGCAGGCCTGAACATGCCCAGGGGCCATTTCTTGAAGACAACTGAACGGAGGCACTTGAAAATGGTCATGATAGCATCCTGCATCGTCATGAGAGACCTGAAATGCCATGCACGGGGGTTCCCTAACCAGGAGGTACTGAAGTTGACTCTGGTAAAGCTAGTGAGGCCAAGGCGGTGGGGCCGCGCGGAACATCAGGCCCAACGCAAAGCCTCACCTTGGATGGACCTCACCCTCCTCCTCCTTCCCTGGGGGCTCCGCTCCAACCTTGCCACTGGCCCCGCCCCCCCATCCCCTCTCAGGTACCGGTTCTGTGTGCGCCCCGCGTGGTGCTGCCAAGGCCAGAAGGAGGCTCCCATGCACACATCCATCCGTTCGTCCAACGGCTGCAAGGGGGTCTCACAACCTCCTGGTGGGTGTGGCAGGACCAGTCGTCCCAGTGTCCGCCCACGGACAGTTGGTGTTGGGTAACCTTTCTCAAAGAGTTAAGCTACCTTTTAGTTCCTTTGTTCATCCTTCCTTCTTTTCCTAACCCTTCTCACAAAGGATCTGAAGAGGAACATAATCTGTATTTACTGGATGGGCCCAGACTTATCTCATTGTTTCCTTTCTGTTTTGTTCTAGGAACACTGGAGCCAAAAGAAGATGAGTCTCAGCCCAGTCTGAGAAGGATGGGTTCCTGGAGAGGGGCAAACCAGGAGTGAGGAAGAGTACAGCACTCCCATGAGATGGGTCAGGTAGGTGTCCACGGGGCCTTTCTCAGCCTCCATCATCTGTCACCACTGGCTGTAAGCGGGTCCCCTCTAGGCCTGGCCCCAGGGTCCTTAGCCACTAGACCCACCCCATTAATAACAACAACAACAAAAAAAATGGAAGCTATTGCCAAGGCCGCTCTTGGACAGGAAACCTGAGGTTGCCCAGGGAACACCAGGCCAGGTGGAGAGAGGCCTTGCATGTGCCAGACTCAGGCCTGGGAGCGAAGGCAGTGTTGTAGACGAAGCCCTGTCATTTGTCTGCAGGGACCCCTGAAGACCTAGCTGTGGCAGAGCCAGATGGCTGCCTGGTCACTGGGCCAGGTCGCATTTTGGCAGGGAGAAAGGGCTGGGAGAGGGATGATGAAATAGCTCCCTGGTACCCTGGTGGAGTTCTTCCTCAGAGGAAGGCCCAGGAGTTACTGATGCTTGCCCTGAAGTCAGATGAGGGGCTCTGGGGATCCCCAAGGAGGGTTGGTGGCAGCAGTGATTCAACACAATGATTATGGGAGACGGAGGAAGGAGGAGCCAAGAGGACTTGGTGGTCCAGCATGGAGACTGTGGGAAGGACATCTAAAGATGGCAGAAGGTGCCTGCCACTGGCCTAGGTGTCCCTCATAATCATGACAATAATTGCCTTCTGAGCATCTGTGCACTTGTCCCTTGCCCTAACCCTCCAACTGGGAAGGAAGTCATCTGTCTTCCTGGGGAAGCTCAGTCCCACAGTTTGGGCAGAACAAAAGTGTTCGGGTGCATCATGAGGAGACAGTGCATTAATGGGCTGGGGGAGCGGAGCTATAAGAAAGGGCCTCTCAGAAGTAATTTATACAAGATTTTAAGCATTCTATCCTCTTGCCCACTTCTCTTCATCCGCACTCTGGAGTGTGACAAGAAGAGGCTTGCCCTCAAGACCTAGGTCTTAATCCAGGTTTTTCTCATGGAGCCTTGAGTGAATCACGGAAACTCTTGGGAGCATCTAGATTTGTTTCCTTTTCTGCAAACTGGGATAATTCCAGCCTTCCCCATGGATGCCAGGACAGAGGAGCTCAGAGGGGCTGGGCTAGTCACTCGTCAGGCCTAGCCTAGCCTGGAGCTTCAGTCTCACCACAGAGTTCAAGGTGCTTGAAGGAGTCACTTTGGAACCTGTCTCTGCCTGCTTTGGAACCTGTCACTGCCTGCTCCCACCTCATCCCACTCTGCAGTGTGGTGGGGGTGGAGGTGGAAGCTGGTGTCCACCTTAGGAAACAGGTGATCTGCTGATGGATTCCACTGGTGACTGTTACAAAGCATGGCACAGAGGTCTTTGGGAAAGTCCTACAGGAAGGTCTTCTAGAGCACATTGGTGGTTTCCAAGAGCCAATGGAATCTGCATCAAGCAATTTTGGAAAGAAGAGCCCATGGTTAACAACCATCACAAAAAGCTGCATCAGATGCTGTGCTGCGTAGTGAGGAGTTGGGGTGGGGAACCACCACACACAAGGTTGTGTGTACTGAAGACATGAGCAGGGGACTAGGAAATCCATGAGTTAGATATAAAACAGAGACTTGCTTTTCCTTATGGAAAGGAAACAACAAGAACAAAAAGGCATGATTCAGTACCAATGGCAAATGTGTACATAAGGTACACACAGGTGCTGGTTTCTAGCTGGGAGCCATAGACAAGCCAGGCCAAGACACACCTTCAGGAGAGACAGCCTGTCAGATATTCCTCCCACTGTTACTCTGTCCAGCTGTTAGCGGGCACCTCTGAGAAACCCAAGGGAACTTCTCACAGTGTCCTGTGCCACCAGTGCAGGATGAAATCCCAGCTGTGCCCAAAACCACCTCAGCATGGTTCGTCCCACTGTGCCATTCCAGGGATGGAGAAGCTGCCTGTCTCTTCTAGGGCTGCTAGCACTCTGGAAGGCTCCACCCTCCATGGGCTCCTAGAGTCTCCTTCTTACCTCAAACTACAGCCAGTTCATGGCTATGTCTGGCCCACGATTGGCGCAGCACCACCTCAGGTCCTCCACTGCGTCAGCTGCTCTGATGCTCTGCTCTCAGTTGTGGTAAATGATTCTGTAGCTAAATCAAAAGAAGGAAACGCTGCTGTATAAAAGGCAGAGACTTGACAACATATCTGTCTAGCCACAGCAGATCCCAAGGTCTCTACAGGCCATGCTAGACACAGATGAGGCACGGCTTCCCCTGGCTGGAGGAAGATCACCTGGCTACCAAATGCACAGATTCCCACCACAGCTTGGCTTCTGATAAATGAGCTTTGACCCAAAGCATTTGGTAGTGAGCTTTGCTCTGTGTTGGATAATGTCTGAAGGCCACGTGGGTGCCACCATGTGATCCCACTGAGTCAGGTCGAGTCAAGGGAGAGGCAAATGCATAGTGTAGAAAGCCCCCCCATCACCTCCAGATAAGCTGGAGATTTATGTCCACATATCAAACACTCTATTCGAAGACCTCCAGAGCAGTAGAACCCAGGAACAGAGGACACCACTGCCACCTTGGAACCTTCCCTAAGCAGCTTCACCCAGCAACTCCCAGGATGCAAGAGCATAGACCGTAGCTGGACCTGATGTTTTCACTTATGATCTATATGGCTGGCAAGTCACTTACCTTCTCTGGGCCTCAGTTGCCTCCTCTGTTGAGTGGACATAATACCCTCTGTTAAGGGTTGAACTATTCTCCTAAAAAGATGTGCTGGAGTCCTAAACCTGTGACATCCCAGTGACCTTATTTGAAAACAGGGTCTTTACAGGTGTAAACAAGGACATTATGGCTTCCCTTCATCCAAAGGGCTGGTGTTTTTTATAAAGAAATTTGGGCTTTTTCTTTTTCACAACGGGTTTGCTGCCAGAACACAGGTGTCGTGAAAGCCACCGCTAAATCGAAGCCAAACGGGAAAGGAAAATACATTAACATCGTTGTCATTGGACACGTAGATTCGGGCAAGTCTACCACTACTGGCCATCTGATCTACAAATGTGGTGGGATCGACAGAAGAACAATTGAAAATTTTGAGAAGGAAGCTGCTGAGATGGGAAAGGGCTCCTTCAAGTATGCCTGGGTCTTGGATAAACTGAAAGCTGAACGTGAGTGTGGTATCACCATTGTCATCTCCTGGTGGAAATTTGAGACCAGCAAGTATTATGTGACTATCATTAATGCCCCAGGACACAGAGACTTTATCAAAAACATGATTATAGGCACATCTCACGCTGACTGTGCTGTCCTGATTGTTGCTGCTGGCATTGGTGAATTTGAAGCTGGTATCTCCACGAATGGGCAGACCCGTGAGCATGCCCTTCTGGCCTGCACACTGGGTGTGAAACAACTAATCGTTGGTGTTAACAAAATGGATTCCACCTAGCCACTCTACAGTCAGAAGAGATATGAGGAAATTGCCAAGGAAGTCAGCATTACATTAAGAAAATTGGCTACAACCCTGTTACAGTAGCATTTGTGCCAATTTCTGGTTGGAATGGTGACAACATGTTGGAGCCAAGTGCTAATATGCCTTGGTTCAAGGGATGGAGAGTCACCTGTAAAGATGGCAGTGCCAGTGGAACCACATTGCTTGAAGCTTTAGATTGCATCCTGCCACCAACTCGTCCAACTGACAAGCCTTTGCGTCTGCCCCTCCAGGATGTCTACAAAATTGTTAGTATTGGTACTGTCCCTGTGGGCCGAGTGGAGACTGGTGTTCTCAAGCCTGGCATGGTGGTCACCTTTGCTCCAGTCAATGTCACAACTGAAGTAAAGTCTGTTGAAATGCACCATGAAGCTCTGAGTGAAGCTCTTCCTGGAGACAATGTGGGCTTCAATGTCAAGAACGTGTCTGTCAAAGATGTTTGACGTGGCAATGTTGCTGGTGACAGCAAAAATGACCCACCAATGGAAGCAGCTGGTTCCACTGCTCAGGTGATTATCCTGAACCATCCAGGCCAAATCAGTGCTGGCTATGCTTCTGTACTGGATTGTCACACAGCTCACATTGCTTGCAATGTGAAAGAAAAGATTGATCGCTATTCTGGTAAGAAGCTGGAAGATGGCCCTAAATTCTTGAAATCTGGTGATGCTGCCATCGTTGATAATGGTTCCAGGAAAGCCCATGTGTGTTGAGAGCTTCTCTGACTATCCTCCTCTGGGTCGTTTTGCTGTTCGAGATATGAGGCAGACAGTTGCTGTGGGTGTCATCAAAGCAGTGAACAAGAAGGCTTTATTTGGGAACTAAATCCAAGTCTGCCCAGAAAGCTCAGAAGACCAAATGAATATTACCCCTAATACCTGCCACCCCAGTCTTAATCAGTGGTGGAAGAATGATCTCAGAACTGTTTGTCTCAATTGGCCATTTAAGTTTAATAGTAAAAGACTGGTTAATGATAACAATGCATCATAAAAACCTTCAGAAGGAAAGGAAAATGTTTTGTGGACCATTTTTGAATTTTAGTGTGTGGTAGTTTTAAGTTATTAGTTTTTAAAATCAGTACTTTTTAATGGAAACAACTTGACCAAAAATCTGTCACAGAATTTTGAGACCCATTAAAACAAAAAGTTTAATGAGAAAAAAAAAATTGGGGCTCAACCCATACTGAGGGAAGATGATGTAAGACACACATGGAGAGATGGCCAGGGGATTAGAGTGATGTGGCCATAAGCCAAGGAAGCCGAGGATTAGAGCTGACACCTGGAGCTGGAAGAGGCAGAGGGATCCACCGTAGAGCCTTCAGAGGGAACATGATCTAGCCCATACCTTGATTTCAGACTTCTGGCCCATAGAACTGTGAGATGATACATTTCTGTTGTTTTAAGCTGTCCAGATTTTGATACTCTGTGATGGCAACCTAGAAAGTGACTATACCACTTCCCCAGGGTGACATGGAAGACTGAGACAAAGTATGAGCATCTGACCTACAGCCCAGTGACAAACATGCACAGAAGTCACTCCTCACACTGGTGAGCTGGACCCAGCCCTGGCCAGCTGTGCAGCACTGGACTGGTTATTCAGCCTCACCTAGCCTCAGTTTCCTCATCAATAAGATCCAGGCAAGGCTACCTACTTTACAAGGCTGTCATAAAGATAAATTGAATGGTGGCACAGTAGCCATGAAATAACTGTTGTTTTTCTGTTAAAAGATTGTAATCTCCTATTAACAAATCCTTACCTGCAATTCCTTACTCAATAGTTCTGCTAGATGGATGACAGTAATAGACTTCTACCAATGCTCTGGCCAGTCTGGACCACTGCCTTAATTCAGGCATGATGGGACCAAAGATTAGGAAAGAGTACAGAATAGCATGTCACTTGGTGCCACCAAGAGGTTAGGTGCAATCTGGCAGCAAGAATAATAACCTCATAAAGGGGATCAACATAAGCCTGTCCTAGAAAATTCTGGATTTATCTGACCATGGTGGCTGGATGACCACTTCATGCTACCAGTGCCTGAATAGACTCAGTGACTTTGGTTGCTACTTTTAGAAAAAGGAATAGTACCAGTACCATGTGAAAATTTGGGAAATAAAGCCAAACAAGTGAAAGAACAAATGTAAATCAATCCTTTTTAGTTTTGCAAAGGGACTTGTCTCTAGTAGACTATAATCAAGTTAAGGGAAATGTTTTTAGGGGTGAGTGCTGGAAATTTGACTTCTAGCCCTGACATGCATTGCTGCTCCTGTTTCCAAGCCTGAGAATGGTTTAGTAAGGGCTAAATCTAAAGAATGCACATTAAAGCACTCAGTGTTATAGCCCTGAAGAAATGTTAGTGACATGGGGCTCCAGGATCAGCAGGAGTTCCTGGGAGTGTGGGAGGGAGCTCTACCATTGAGGTGGCCATCAGAAGAGACCAGGCCAAGAAGCATCCTGCAAGTAGGAGGAACCTCTTTCAGCTTCTTGGCCCAATGCTCCTTGGAGGTTCCCAGCACCTGCTTGTGAAAGGCTTCTTTGGGCCAGGTCATTCATCAGCAAGGCTTTCACTTTCTGATGCAACAGGCACACTGTCCCCTCCTTAGGCCTGGTACTCACCCAAGCCTGCTCCATAGTTCTGTACTGTGCCCCTGGTATTGAAGAACTGGAGTCTGAATTAAGCCATGGAACTTGAATGTGTTCTGTAGATAACAAGGGCTAGAACTGGAACTCAGGGACTGTTTGCAAAGAGCAGCCCAGTGTGCCCAAGGACAAAGGACAAAGGCTCATGCAATCTGTGCTTGCTGGGGGATGAACACCCTGCTGACCCCTATAAAATTCACAGCCCTCAGAACTGTGAGATGCTCTCCTCTCACCTGCAGACTGCAAGTTGGGGGATAGGTTACCTTCACAGGTGTGGGCTGGCTGGAAATAAAAGTCTGAAAATATCATATTGAGAAATAAGACAAAAGCACAGAAAAATATATTTAAAGCAAGGGCTCGACAGGTAGAAGAGACCTGATGAGTCTGATCCTAACAAAAGGGTAAAAGCCCATGACTGCTTTATTTATGGTGAAACACACCAAAGAAATTTATAGTGAGGACAGTTCTTCAATGTAAACAAGAAACAAGAAGCTTCTGGGAAGCTGGCCTGATTGGGGACTTCTCACTTGCGCAGTAATTCTTCCTCCTCCAGGCAAGTGGCACCACAAAGCTAGTTGGGGCACTGGTATCTCTTTCCACCTCCAGGGAGTTGTGTTTCAGCCTAGCACTGTCTGAGCCAATAAATTCTGCAGTATCACAGAATCCTCTTTGAGCAGGACTTCGGTAGGGCAATGGAGCAGTCTCAGATCCGTAAGATAACCAAGGGTTCTCTGAGGTTCTCTGAGGGCCTCACCTTCTCTTAGAGATGGCCCAGACATGCCCACAGTTCATTCATGGCTTCCAACATCTTTCGCTTTTTGTTTTTTAAGCCCAAGTGATGTGATATGTTGTTACTTGACGTTCCCAGATTTCATTTCTGAGCGTAGGACAACCTATTATCATAACACAAAAAAGAATTAGTAGCAAGCGCATAATTCCAAAAGCATACCATGTAGAAGTCTTCAATACGTTTCCAGAATTAAAGCCTTTTAGATCATGAAGTATTTGTTCAGCCAGAGATGCAGGATTTATGAAGTTGTTCCTGCTTTTCTGGATGTCCTGGATGTTATGATGTAACTCCATAAGATCCAGGCTGTTGTTATTAATATCATGCCAAATGCCCAGTAGTTGATTTTTTACCTTTTCCAAATCCCACTGGGAGCCATTATTCCTGGCTGCAGTATTGCAGACTTAAGCATGGCATTTAAGGCTTTGCTTAAATTTGAGAGTGGCACATTCATTTCCAATATTAATAACAGTAGCTTCCAAAGCATTTAATGTAGTCTCAACTTTTTCATCAACATTTACCTGAGTATACAGGGCTTTGGAAGTATTTTGACCAAATTAAGAAAATTAGCAGTATTAATGTTTTTATGTAAAGCTACAGACGCTGTGACTTGCCGCAGTCTGGCTGGGCACAAATCACGAGCTACTCAAGCAGGAACAAACTTTATTTCCGAACTCCACCAGCACACTCCACACTTGCTCCCCTGGAACTCCCCGAACACCACCCACGCTGCTCCTCCAGGAACACACCACACACCAACCGGAACTCCCTCTCTGGGACCTTCCCCCACCAACACGAACTCCCCAGGCAATCCTCAGGAGAACTCCAAAGTAGTAGGCGGACAGTAAAGGTCTAATATACAATTGAATCAATCCAGCATCATCTTAATGGCTCGCCTCTCAACCATTACTTCTGGCAAAATGCCAGGGGCCATTCCGACTGGCTGTGGCTCTCAGCAGTGACTGTAAAGCTATAAAAGAAATTAAAGTAGCCACTCCTAGCTCTCTACGTCCAGTCACTCACCATGGTCTGCTTAGCTGGTTATGCATTTTTTGTTAAACCTGAACTGCGCAATCAGCATACCATGGCCCCAAGACTTTAGCTGGGAGTAAAACAAAGGGTGGTTGGTAAAGGACCAATACCCCTCTCCCTCTGTTATATCTTCAAGTTACATGATATTTTTTTTCCTTTTCTCTGCACTCTCACATTTCCAGAAATTAAAGCATAAGGAGATTGAACACAGGCTCTCAGGCCATATCAGGAACTCTCCTTGCAGTTTCTGCCTGGTCAGGCATGGTCCCATCTGTAAAAGGGAGAAAATTGGAGGCAGCTATCTTTTTGTATACCACCTTCACTGAAAGTTAGGATATTACCAACAAATCCTCCAGGAATTATAAGATCTTGATATCACTGTCCTTTATCAATTCTTGGAGACCATCCCAAAACATATCTACCACTTTTAGAGATTTTATGTTGCACTAGAAAGACATTTGCACAACTCATCCATTTATGAAAGTCACCAAATTCTATTGCAGATTGAAAAGGCAATAAGGTATTGGTGGATATTCTGTGCGGATAACTGGCCTGTTATGGGAGAGTCCCATTTTAATAACTGTCCAGGATGTTTGATCTTAAGCCCAAAGGGGCCAGCATGATTGGGTGGTTTTTTAGGTCCCCCAAATGCTGTATTTTCTTCAAAAATTTAACTTTTTTCCCAAATTTCTGTTTTTATTTTTTGTTATTATTTATTTAAACTTTGGGTTGTCATTTCCCAGAATAAAAGAGTAGAGAGAAAAAAATAAGTGTTTGATCTCATAGGAAGTCTCTAGGACTCACTCCTATTCCATCTTTTCCTTAAAGATCCTTGAGAGATCCTCCATTGCAAGAAGAATGGATGTGTCCTACTGCAGTTTTGACAGCCGTCCAGGAGAAAAACATTCCAGTTCTCCAACCTTGTCCCATATCACATTGTGCCACCATCGTTGGGAGAAGGAAGGAGAGCTGAATGTCCTTTAATTTCAGGCTGAGACAAGAGGATCACAAGTTTGATGCCAGCATCAGCAATTGAAGGGTACCCTATTCATGCTGGGACAACTGGTTTAATTTATTCTCAACTCTTTAATCAATAGTTACCTGGTTATACAGGGCTTTGGAAGTATTTTGAACCAAATTATTAAGAAAATTAGCAGTATTAATGTTTTAGGTGGCTATTTTCCTCATCTTCCTGAGAGGAAAAATGTGACCAAAGTCCTGGAGGAGGACTACTGGTCGACCTCTGACCAGTTCCCCCCCCCCCCCCCCCCCGTTCCTGTTGTGGAGGTGGAGAAGGAGAGGGTCAAGGCATGGAGGACCTAGTGGCTAACACTGGGACTGCCCCCTGGGACAGGGGTCATGGTGTGCCCTCCCAGTCTTCCCCCACTGCCACTGCTCCCCTTCCCAGACCCAGACCCTGTCCCAGCACAGGGATGCGCCCCAGAAGGGTGGGGAGGAAGAAGGAGATGGCAGTGGGAAGGAAGGGACACCGTGGGGGGCTCCACTCTCTCCCAATGCTGAAGGGGGCATCACCCCTCAGAAATTGGTG